ATCGCAATTCCACCACGGCGGCTCCGCCGTGTTCCGGCGCAAACGGTGGCGATTCGCCTCGAGTTGGCCGTTTTCGGCCGAATTCGGCCACGCTTGCATCGGTCCCTGCGATAGAACAACCCTAGGGCCCTCGGTGGGCCGAAAAATTACAAAAAATCGAAACTTACCGGTGGCGGTGCTCTCGGGTGCGGCGGCTCCTCCGGCGTGAGTCGTGTTTTGATGTTTGGCTCCGATTAACCTGTAGAGAAAAGAACGGTGATCACAGTGGTATAAAATTTACATCAAACGGAGGCCGGGAAGGGCCTCATCGGAGGCAAAAATCGAGGAGGGGCGCGGCGGCGTTGCTGGGTTTCAGCTGAGTTTTTCGGCTGTTTGGCCGGTGGTTTGGCTCCGGTTTGGCCATAGGCGGACTCAGCATCGAAAAACGAGCAAGGGGGAGAAAAATTACCTTGATCGGCGGTCGAAAACTTCCCCGGTGCAGCGGCGGGTGGCGGCGGCCGGCTCCTCCGGCGTCTGGTTCTTCTTCTCCGGTGAGCACTGGCGGCTAGGGTTTCTTTGGTCAGGTGTGGGTGGGGGTATTTATACCCTTTGCCTTTTAATCTCGACCGTCCATCAAGATTGAATCTGGGTCGTTCGATCGCGATTTAATTGAGATTAAATCTGGGCCGTTCATCGCGATGTAATCTGGGCCATCCATGCGCGTGAATCTGGGCCGTCCGTGCGCACGTTTGATCTGGGCCGTCCGTGCGCACGTTTGATCTGGGCCGTCCGTGTGCGCGGGAACGGATCTGGGACGTCCGATCGCGCGCACGCGGATCACCCACGTGGCCCGTTCCCTGGTCAGTGTTGTCTTGCCACGCGGCGCGTTCTGGTTGGCCGGGTTGCTGACCGGGCCGCTAACGTGGCTGCTGACGTGGTGCTGACGTGGCACAACTTTTCTAAATTATGTTTTGACCCCCGATTTCCGATTTTCTTTTCAAAAACACCCCCATAATCTAAATTTTCACCCTTTTTTCCCAAAATCAATTTCAATTTAATCCAAATAATATTTTTACCCAATTTTATCATTATTATTATTTTTATTTTCATTGAATTAAATTAAATTAAATTAAATTAAATAAAAAATCAAATAAATAAATAAAAATAAAAATAAATAAAATTTTTATTTATTTATTTATTATTATTATTTTTTTTTTTGGTGTTACAGTATGTGTTTTATCCTCCTGTGACAGTTTAATCCACTCTCATTTAATGCTTTATTTCTTTACCGATTTCTAGCATGAATTTCGCCCTTTTAAATTGTGGGGTATGGGTTGCATAGAAGAAAATGTAGGCATAAATTAATGATGTTAAATGAAATGGCTTCTCAGATGTCATGTAAAAGAGTGTACAAACTTGGTACATAGAGTGAACCCTACTGTTGACGTTACCCTCAGCCGTACGGGACTGGGAACTTCGATACCGGGGAGTTTATAAGTGTTGTTCATACCGGACAGGATATTAATGCGATTTTTAGTTGTGACACACATTACCGGACGGGGTATGGGGACAGTTGATCTGATTATAAAGAAAGTGTATGTATTCACATGTAGTGAGAATCCTTATGGACCCTCTGCGACACCAATAGGGAAAGGTAAAATGATAGAGTAGTGATGGACATAGTAAGAAATTTGACTTGGGAAAGATATGAAAAGTCAAATATTATATGTCTATTGAAATGTATACTATTATATTGTGTAGCGCCCGGACCGAAAAAGAAAAAAAAAAAAAAAAGCCACGTCGGCAGCCACGTCAGCAGTCCCGGCCAACCGGGGCCTGCCACGTGGCAAGACCACGTCGCTCCTGAACGGGCCACGTTGATTTTCATCTTAATATATGACATTTGAAAAGTTACAGGTTATGAAAGAAAATACTAATATTTTTAGTGAAACGAGTAATGAATGCACTAGCATCAGGTTTTATTAAAAGTGTGCTCCATTAGTCGTTTTATATTTTCTACAACCTTTTGATTTTCTATACAAGTGGTAAGGCGTTGATATTTTTGTTGAATTAATGTAGCTCACCCCTTTTCTTATTAATAATTTTATATTATGACGATTAAGATCCAGATCCTGAATAGTAAGAGACTAGTTAAAGAATTACTTCGTCCGCTTTGTCAATTTTGAGTAGAGGTTAATCATATTTATTGTTAATATTTTTTTTCGTTTAAGGTTCAAAGTATTCCCGTAGCTCCTATTCGGGCATTTAAGTAAACGTGTAATGAATGTAATCTTTAAACTCGCTAAATAAAAATTTTCAGTATTATTTATTTTATTATTACTTAATTATACGTTCAAAATATTGAATAGTAGTTTAGACTTTTACATTTCTAAATCAATATTGCCGTAATTTTTTTTAATAAATTCAGTCCTATTTAATTTTTATTAAATTATTAATAAACATAAAAGATTACATTAATATTTTATTATGTGGAATATTTTCTTTACATAATTATTTATACTTTGGTGAAAAATTATGCGTATATTTTGGTAAATGGTAATGATATATTGAGAAAATTGGTTTAACTGAAAAAATAAATAAATAAATGGGAAAAGGGAGAAAAAGAAATAAGAAGTTAAATAATAAGTTCATTCAGGAATAAATTATTATTTACATGTTTTATATTCACCCCCATCATTCCAAGAATAATTTACTTCATTTTTAGATTAACTATTATTTTAGTGTTTAAATTTTGTTATTTATGTTTATTTTATATTTTCATGAATATATACATATATATATATATATTAAAAAATTAATGAAGATCACAAACCATTTTATGTAAGAAATAAAGTTTTTTTTTTTTTCTTGTAGATAAATTTATTTATTATTTAATATTTATACATTAACAATATATATATAACTACCCTTTTTTTTTCCGATTTTAATTTTTAGTATAATATAATATTATATTAATTTTTTAAAAAAATTAATATATATTGAGGAAACAAGACATGTATGCATAGAGCACTAAATGAATACGATTCACTTGGAGAGCAAAAGATGCCTTTTTACTTCACGTAAAAGAATCCACAACTAAAATGAATGTGACGTACACCTCTCTGGATTTTCCTAAACAATCAAAATTCAACATCAAATAAATTTCCCATTAACTTTTATATTTTTCTGGGCCATTATTTAAATATTATAAAATACTGGGGGGACCCAGAAAAAAAAATTAAAAAAAAACATTCCATTCCATCTCCATTTCCTTTTCTCTCTTGTCGTTTCCATCTTATCTGCTCTGCGTTTTTGGTTTTCGACATTCTCCTCTATCACCATCATCATGTCGTTTCATGTCGTCGCCTGCATAAGCTTTTCAACTGAACCATGAACGTCAGTATCCTTACCCACCACCAATCTCACCGCCACTCTAATATTGACACGTGTGCAAGATGCCAAAATAAAGTTTGGCAGTGGATTACCTGGATCTCACCCGCAGGTCCCCCTAATTTAGGAAATATAATTAATTATCTTAAATTTTTATTTTATAATTTTTTGACAAAAAAAATGAAATAAACAAATACTAAATTATGGGTATTTTCGTTATTAGTTAGAAATCATTATTGTATATATGTATATACAAAAAAGCACAATTAACATACATATATATATATATATATACTGCTTATCACCTTCCAAAAAAAGCTACTTATTTGTCCTGAATTTAAGCAAGTCAACTGTTAACTTACGAAAGTACAATAAATTGATTAGATTTGTGTGTATATATATATATATATATATATATGTACACGTTTATTTTTGTTTATTTATGGCTGATTTGAAAATTAAAAAAAAAAAAGAAAGTAAAAGCAATATTTTTATTTATGTTTTTTATAAAACTAATATAATTATCTTATTTAAAAATTAATATAATATTTTCAACTGCTTAGTTGATAAAAAATTACTATAATTTTAAAATAAATTGTGCCAACTGAAAGTTTTCCTTTTTTAAAATTTTTGGTCAAAAGTTTCCAATTTAAAATTTAACCATGCAATTACAGGTGAACAGCTGCACTTTCTCTTTCCTTTTCAGCAATCATCACAAAATCCTGCTGTGCGCCACCTTCTCTCTCTGTCACTGCTCTGAATTCAAAACGCTTTAAACTATTCACCCAACAAGACACGCGTCAACAATCTTTCATCTTCTACCTCGAATCTCCACTTAAAAACCCATATAAATCTTTTTTTCCTTTCAATTTTCTGGGATACCAAACGCTACCCATTTGTGGCGTGAACTTCTCTATTCCATTATACGCTTCTTAAAGTTAACAACTTCGTTGATTACTGAAGTTTTTGATACCAAAACGTAAAGACCCCTTTAAGATCAGAGTGGATAGTTTCTTTCTTGAGTATCATGGCCGTCGATTCGGCTGACCGGAGAGAGTTCGTCGTCAAGATCGATGGTGGAAACAGCCCGGCCACCACCGCCACCCCGTCCAACAGCAATGCTAATGCTTCTACGATTTGGAGAGAATCAAGCTATGAATTTTGGAACGACAAGGATAAGAAGCAAGCTACTGGGTTGGGAGGAGGAGGAGCAGAGGAGGACGGTTTTGACTTCGGGCGAGGAGGGCAGGAGATGGAGAGCCCACCCTCGAAGCTGATTGGTCAGTTCCTGCACAAACAGAAAGCTTCCGGGGAGATTGCCCTCGACATGGATCTCGATATGGACGAGCTCAAGCAGCATGGACCACGAGGGTTGCCGCCCGTGTCAGAATCGCCGGCATCTGCTGTATCGGCGGCGAAGCTTGTGTCAGATTCTCCTTCTGCGAATCGGGTATCATTCGACACGGCTAACTCTAATGTCGAGTTGGTGAGGAGGAGGCAACAGAAAGAGTCACCAGCGAAAGATGGGAACAACAGTAGTAATAACAACGAAAATGGCGAGGTTGTGAAGTGTACTTCCAATAAGTCTTTTCATAGGACCACCCAGTCAAGATTGTTGGACCCACCAGCGCCGCTGCGACCAGCGGATATGAAGTCAGGGAAAGTGTCCAAGTCGGCGCAAATTAGATCTGGGTTTTTGGGAAAAGCGGGCGCTGGGGCGGTAGAAGAGGAGGAGGAAGACCCACTTTTGGAAGAGGATTTGCCTGAGGAGTACAAGAAGGACAAGCTTAGCGTATGGGTTTTGCTTGAATGGGTAAGCTTGATTTTGATAATTGCTGCTTTGGTTTGTAGCCTTACAATTCCTTTCTTAAGAGGGAAGAAGTTGTGGAAGCTTGGATTGTGGAAATGGGAAGTGATGATTTTGGTATTGATTTGTGGAAGATTGGTTTCTAGTTGGATAGTTCGAATAGTTGTATTCTTCATAGAGAGGAATTTTCTTTTGCGGAAAAGAGTTCTCTATTTTGTATATGGGGTGAGGAAAGCTGTTATGAATTGTCTATGGTTGGGGCTTGTTTTGATTGCTTGGCATTTCTTGTTTGATAAGAAAGTTGAGAGGGAGACAAGGAGTACTACCCTTAGATATGTGACCAACGTTTTGGTTTGTTTACTTGTGGGTGTTTTGTTGTGGCTTGTGAAAACCCTTCTGGTTAAGGTGCTGGCATCTTCGTTTCATGTGAGTACATACTTCGATAGAATCCAAGAATCGTTGTTTAATCAATATGCTATTGAGACACTTTCTGGACCTCCATTGGTTGAAATTCGGAAGATAGAGGAAGAAGAGCAGAGAATTGCAAATGAAGTGAAAAATATGCAGGATGCAGGGGTTACTATTTCGCCACGTCTTAAGGCTACTGCTTGCCCATCACCACAGAACACAAAGGTGATGGGTAGTGGACTCCTTCAGGGAACTCCTCGATCTGGGAAAAGTCCTAGGCTTTCTCGTGTGCCATCTAACGCAGGAAATGATCAGGGAATAACTATTGATCACCTACACAAATTGAATCCTAAGAATGTGTCAGCATGGAACATGAAGAGATTGATGAATATAATTCGACATGGATCTCTTTCTACTTTGGATGAGCAGATACAAGATTCAGCCCATTATGATGAGTCTGCAACACAAATAAGAAGTGAATACGAGGCAAAACTTGCAGCAAGGAAAATATTCCAGAATGTTGCCAAGCCGGGTTCCAAGTATGTCCTAAATGCACTATTGCAGTATTATTTCATAGGGGAACATTTATGGTCATAACACGATAAATTATTGGTCTCCTTTTATGGTTATCCTAAGTTTCGTGTTAGTTTTTCACAATTTTAAAGTTAAGTTTTTCTTCATGTGCTGATGTCTACATGATTAGTGCATATATATATCCAAATTTATGAAGTTTATCAAATTAGTAGTTGTTGTCTCATGATTCACCTGCCATATAGTCAGATCAAATTTATTTATAACCAATTTGAGTCTTGTTTCTGCAGGTACATCTATTTGGAGGACATTATGCGATTCATGCAAGAAGATGAGGCTCAGAGAACCATGAATCTTTTTGAAGGAGCAACTGACAGTAGGAGGATTAGCAAGTCATCCCTCAAGAATTGGGTGGTAAGACTTCGGTGAAATATTCTTTTGCCCCATTGCTTTGACATTTTTATTTTCTTTATTTTCTTTTTTTTAAAAAAAAATTTCTCAATCTTAGGGAAGTGTGAATTTATGTGGTAATTTGAAACAGAGAATATGCTTGCTTGCATTTCTATTATTCTTTTGCCTTTGTAGATGTAATCAGAGAATGATTGAAATAATTCTAGGTATATTCACGTATTTAACTATACACCCAGAAGATTGGACATTGACCCAAAAGATTGGACATAATTTGCAAGAAAAATCTTGCTAAATGCTTGGTTTATCGAAAAGTTTTTTCCAACAGTAATCAATGGAAGAATGCTGGTCTAATAGATGATTCAGTCTTTATGTTGATGAAATGTTTCATAACCCACTTCAAACACTGTTTTGAGTCCCTGCTAAATGGTAATCGGTACACCTGAATATTGCAGGTTAATGCTTTTCGAGAAAGAAGGGCGCTTGCCTTGACATTGAATGATACTAAAACAGCTGTAAACAAACTTCATCGGATGGTGAATGTTTTGGTTGGCATCATTATAGTGATAATTTGGCTTCTTATACTAGGAATTGCCACCACCAAAT